CCCTTTTATAGAAATCAGATTGTACTTTTGATCCTAGGTACACGCCAACCGTGGTCCAATATTCCCTTAAATCCCTATTGAATGTTCATTGAATCGATATTAACCAGAAGATGATATGCAAATGGTTTCCTCTTTTATAATGTCTACCGATGTAACAGGGAATTGCTTCATTGATTATATTTCCTATTACATCAAAATAATTCATGTATGTAATATTTTCAATTTACATACATATGCACATATAATGTGTTATCCTTGTATTTGTGCTCTTTGAAAACTTCATGTATGGGACTCCGCAAGGCCGCAAGCAATCCAGTCGATTGCCGACACACAGATGCAGAATACAGATACAGACACACGTGTGGTGCCTATGACATTTGCAAATCAAGGAACGTCGCGACGACAACTCTCCTTTCACTTTTACCTCATAAAAGTCAAGCGCTTCAAACCTCGATTTCGCGCCATGGCCTAGGCCCCACCTACTGACGCTACGAGACAATATCCAGCACCGAACTGAACCTTACCGAACCGAACACAATAAACGAACGCACTTGACTGAGAATGTAAGCGATAATCCCCCGGGGGCCAGGACCTGTACGTACGAGACGGTGGAAAGCTGCGCGTAATTGAACTCCGCACAGCGCTGGATGTGGGTGCCCAGAACCAGTAGGAGGCGGTGGCAGGGGATGCATATTTATGCCAAAGTTGCGCCTTTTTTCGCAAACCCCATTCAAATGGTCGCGGCACAGTGGCAGAAATTCAATGGAAATAACATTTAAATACTACCAAAGGTAGAAAATATTCTAAACAATATTAATCAGAATTACCTTTATATTCAAATTGCCTGGATTGAATCTAAATATTCTGTAAATGTCCTAGAAGCAATAAATACCTAAATACAAGATATTTTAACTTAATAATCAATCAAATAAGCTTTCTTTAATGAGCCTAGGTCGGAATAAGCCAAGGAATCCAGGCACCAAGGAATGGCTTAAAAGTATTTAAGTTTTTTTTGGCCAACTATAGATATAGTCATTTTCCGATCAGTTCTAATGTTTAGTCGAAGTATTTATCTCGCATATATACGATTTGGATTTAATTCTCGAATTTCTATCATCCCTGGAATCACTGTGCCTTGTGTCATCTCCGGGCTGAGGGTGTATCCTGTTGTTAATAAACTCTCACCGTGTTGCCGACTCAACGACTCAGGGACTCAGAGACTCGGAGACTCAGCGACTCTTTGACTCTCCAACGAGTCCTCGACGTTGCCGAGCGCTGGCTCCAATAAGCGCCAAACTTTGCCGATATTTATCGAGTTTCATAGCCGCCGGTTAAATTTTGCCGGTTTTGCATGTGTAGCGGGTGGCGGGTAGCGCATATCCTTTGGCGTGGCTTCAGTTCGGGGATGCGTCTGAGAATGGGGATGGGGATGACGGTGAGCCTGGCACTTTGACTGGGGGATGTGTGGGCCCACAACATACTTACTCCTGGCTAGGAGGAGACGCGCGAGATGCTTCCTGCCTTGGGTTTATGGCATGTACTGAGGCATGTTTTAAGTGGTTTTACAGGACGCGCTTCATTGCGTCATGCAATCAATTTGCTTAGCTCGTTATGTTTACCAAACGTTCGGCGTTCGACACACACACACACACACGCACACACACAGATACAAATCCATAAATGTTACAAGCCACAATCAGGTGGGTGCTGCCGAGCCCGAGCCCGAGCCCGTGCCCTGCTCATCCCATATAAATTTATTCATATTTTAACTAATATTTATCAATACGAGTTGCGGTATCTGGTTCGCTGGTAAGCAATATTACAGGTGCGCAGGAGAGTGGGTGGGTCCTGCATATTTAGTGCTGATTATGGCAAAATGATTGTTTTTCTTTTAGCCGAGTTACATTTACATATCCACATACTCGTCGATTATATTCAGATATACATACATACATATGTGTTAGATGTACAGAACCACAAAAAATATATGCGAATAAATAGCAAACCGTAGATCCGTTTTGTAGATTGTTATTCGATTTTGAAATTTTGTATCAGTTCAAGTTCAGTTTTGAGATGACTTACATATTATACCTATTATTCCTATGACTATACATATAAACCAGAAAAATGTATCCTTAAAACTCGTATTATTGTATTTTAATAAATTATTTGTTAATTCTATGCGATTTTTATGATTTCCGGAAATAGTCCGTCTGATCAGATAACTATAACTATATTCTGTGATCGGTATATATAATTAATAATAATACGTAAATCTGTGCTTTCTAAATAAACATCCAAAGCTAGCTATTTAAAGCAGGGGTTGTCTCTTCTATGGGAAAATTCCCATGAAAAATATTAATTGCTATAATTTCGTTACACGAAATTTGGTAATGCTAGAAGGTATCACATTCATATTTTGGTTATTAATTTAACACTCAGAGACTCAGAGAGATAATCAAAAATGTTTAATCTGAATTATACTAAATTGTGTCAAATACATGTCTTAATATTGTACGAGCAGCATCGTTTCGGATTGTAGGGTTTTCCCATTCACATTCAACGCGATGATCTTGCAGGAACGGCTGCCTCTCTGGCAAATTTGCGCAAAGTTTCATAGACAACCACAGCGGGCACAGAATCAATATTCTGGATCAGCGTTGCACCAGACTTTAAATAGCAGAAACCTTTCGATAAACTGTCTTTAATAAATCTATGTAGACGTGTAGATGTATAAAGTATATATGTATCGGGTGGGACTAATACTAATTGTGTATAGTCCTCCCGCGTGATACAAGTTTCAAGCTATCCGTCTCTTAATTGCCCTCACAATCAATGGTTTTTTTTGTATCTTTAGTAAATTTAATTGATTTGGGGGTACTGGTAAATATTTTTGGTTTTTCTAAAGATTAGAAAACCAATGAACGATATAGCGGCTTTTCTTTTGAATATTGTTTAACCTAAGTTAATATACAGTTGAGCGGCACTGCATAGAGAAAGGTATGTATATGTATGTATATTTCTTGCAAAAAATTGTCTGAAAAAAATACTTTTTTTGACAAGATTAATAATACGGCAGCAAACGAGTCGCAAACCTACGGCGCTTACATAATATGCACATATGTATAACTTTGAAAATCCCTGTCTTAACTAAATGTGCAATTTTTTGTTGTGATATTTTATATTAGGTAACATTATTTACATATGTATGTGTATTTACGTATTCAAATAAATTAAACAAATAACAGTTTTTATTTTTTCCCACACCCCGACCTCACCCACACTGCCCATTCTTTATTAATTTTGTGGCGGTCTGTTCAGTTCGTCAATAAACTAAAAAACATTTCAACCTCTGAAAATGATAAAAACATTAAAATCACATATTTTTGTGACAACATATTGTGTGGGTAATACTTTTCCACGCAAGGAATTGTGAAAGCCGATCGTCAGAGCCTGCATTTATGCAGATTGGATATAAGAAATTCTTTATATTACCTATAAAGGCAAACATTTTTGTGGCACTCGATCGAGACATATCGAACTATTTGCTTCAGAGGCCAAAGACCTGTTTTGGTTGGAGTACTTTGACGTCGGCAGACCTGCAGGACAGTTCTATCCCATAGCTGTAGGGCTACCACTGAACACCACTGGATGGGTTCCTGGTCAGCCAGACAATGCTGGCGGCGATGAGCACAACAACTGCAATGTGCATGTTAGGGCTATATGCGAACAAAAAATACGTTCTACTATCTGTTAATTTAATAATTCTCTTTCGAACAGGCAACAGACTTAATTGCTATCAGTTGAAATTAATTGAAAACAAATATATATTATTTGCTTTGAAAGGCGGATACTGATAAGAGACTATACTGAGAAATAAATGCCATAGGCAAAGCCGAGCACACCCATATTTGCGTTGACTTAAAAAAATGTATTAAAAAGTCTCTTAAGTCGGCCCATATGTAGTCTTACCATAAACCATTTTAAAATAAATATATTATATTCAATTTGTACGAAATATATTCATATATCAATATTTTCATATCATTGTAAAAATATAAGTGCAAACACTTCATTATTAATATATCCACGCTCGGCTCCAAATGAATGGCATACTGGAATCTGCTTTCCAATTGTGAAAGGAGAAATTTATTTTAAGCTTAAGGTCAAGTACGTTGACGAACCTGTATAAGAAATTGTTCAGGTAATCTTTTCAGAAGTCTTTATCAGCATCAATAGCAGAGTAGATATAGGCATGGCTGTCTGTCGCCCTGCTTCGCACTCTTTCTTTTTCTCGATCAGTGTACGGTGTGGTATGTCAACAGCGATAATAATATTTCTCATAAGCTAAGAAGAGGACAGACGAAGTGCACGAATATAACATATTGTATATGTTGCATAGATCATAATATTATACAAATCACATGGAGTCCTTGCTCATTGAAGCTACGGTTTTCTTTGACGTTTTGCGAATCGACTGCTGACAGATGAGAACCAAATTTTTCTCAAATTTCACTTTCCTCAAAAAGGCACGTGTGAACTCTAGCTATATGTTGGGGTATCAGAAAAGGAGAGGATTCAAATTGGGTACAGTCGCTAATGGGACCAGTCTTACTCCAAAAAAGCCTTATTTACACGTGCGAATATTGTGGTATCGTATTGTATTGGCGATAATTTGAGTTATTCAGTTGACATATTCGATTCAACTCAAGAAATTAATATAATCATAAAATAATGGCAATTAAATTCCACACGTACAGTGGCGAGCATGCAAGAGTGCATGTTCATCGCTTTTGATCCATCATCGAAATTTCAGATAGTGGCCACATTAATTCTCCAACTTTACAGAGTAGAGATCTTGATTTTATCCGGCCTTAGCTGAATTATACTTGGTTTAAAATTCTCCTTCAAGTCGGTGTACTTTCAGGGAGAGTATGAGTATTAGTTTCAGTATAAATTATGTTGAAAAACGGGCCGATCTAATCATTCGCGAAGCTAAAATGTTCAAATCAGACGTATTTTTGAGTATTGCCTGCCTCATAATTATCAGCAGCACGGTGAATTCTAATGGTACGCAATCAGACTAAATTTATTATGGTATGATTGACAATTTCAACTTTCAATTCGCAGATGAACTCGTACGGGTTCGAAATAAGAAGTTCTTCATATCACCTATAAAGAAAAACTTTTATGTGGCACGCGACCTTTGCAAGCAAAATAAAGCTGATCTGGCCACCATTGAGTCAAATGACGAGCTGGTAGCCATATCGAGCCACCTGCTTCAAGAGGGATACAGGTCGGAGGCCAATGACCTGTTTTGGTTGGCGTACTTTGATGTCGGCAGACCTGCAGGACAGTTCTATTCCATAGCTACAGGGCTACCACTGAACACCTCTGGATGGGTTCCTGGTCAGCCAGACAATGCAGGGGGCAATGAGCACTGTGCCCACATTTGGTTGCGGCTTGGAAAATACGGAATGAACGACAACAACTGCAATGTGGAACTTAGGGCTATATGCGAACAAAAGATACGTCATACTATCTGTTAATTTAATAGTTCTCTTTCAAAAAGGCGGGAACTGATAAGCAACACTGAGAAAAAATTATAATAGTAAAGCCGACCACACCTACATATGTACATTAAATATGTAGTTTTGAAATCAACTTTGATTTAAATAAACTTTTTAATACTGCACATATTTAATCTAAATATAAAACACTTCACAAAAAATATATATTGTTTAAGTTATAGAAATATAGAGCGATGCATCATATTCCAGGCGGTAGTTTTCGCCATCAGGAAATCAGCAGAGGTCGCTCTGCTCACAGAAATGACTTTCGACACTGCCGCGTCGGTTCGCATCCCCCTATCCGGATAAGTAAGGGTCATATTGGCCCTAACCTAACCTAACCTAACCTAAACTTAACCTAATCTAATATAGAAATATATGTACATATTTATATGCAAATATATTACTACCAAATTTCGACTGTGAATGCTTTAAAATTTACAAAAACTATAATTTTTTATATTGTATTGTATAAAAATTTGTATTTAATATCTAAATACTTCAAGCGAAACCTCTAATCCACGACTAAAATAATTTCAATTAAATTTCCCCAAAAGTTTATTTTTCCATTAAAAGCATCCGTGCCCCAGGCCTGGGAAAGAGAGGACAGACGCTTGCATTATAATTTGCCACGCACACAGACAGACCCCCACGCACACACACACAGACGGAGTCATTCAGGATATACAAAAGGTGTCAAAGGCCTTTTGTCTGCCTGTCAATGACAAGCGGCCAAAAGTGTGCCAAAAGACTAGGCAAAAGACTTTGTTAACCCCACAAACGACAGCGACGACGATGCCGACATCGACTCTGTAGCTGAGAAAATTGTGTGAAAAATTCAAATCTCTCCTTGTCGTTGGCAGCCCTTTTGGCGGCGCATTTAGGCCTGGATAGGCTGGTCCCGAGCCGAACGGAACGAGACGGGCCATGTCTAACATAATTTAAAACCGTAGAAAATCCCCGGAGCCGGAAAATGCCGGCCGATTGGGGGCCATAAGCTAAGCGCTGTCAGGCCTGCCAGTTGACCCTGACGAGCAATCGATTTGCCAACGACCCAACGACTCTTACAAGCATGTCACTTGACTTGGCTCTCCGACCCCTGGCTCCTTTGTTATGCGATTTTATGCGGCAACAGAAGCAGCAAACAGCCACAACATCGACGTGTAGTAATCGGGTCTGAGGTCTGAGGTCTGGGGTCTGTGGTCTTGGGTCTCAGAGAACTCAAGCCGGATTATTGACACGCCCACATACACGTGAGGAGGCCATAAAAATTAAATGCCCCAGGCATTTTGCATTGTCTCCACTCCCGGCCGTATTCTGAATTTCAATTAAACGCACTCTCCCTCCCCCTCCCCCACCGATTGAACAATAACTCAGTCAAGGCTGAGCCTACGAGAGTCCTGCGATTCAATTATGCCCGATCCGACCCCCGCCATCTACTAATTGAAGACTGCGCTTCGGCCTGGCGAGGACGGGCGGGCATCTTGTGCGGGTCTCATTATTTATGTATTTGCCAGTGCGATTTGGCTTAATTAAGGTGTTGGGCGTCCGCAAGTCCTCGAAGCGGATGGTGGACAGGGGCTCGGCTGCATCGGGTTTCCAAGCACTGAACAGCAAAGCAAATTGCATTACAGTTCAAATGCTGAGATCGTAGCGTGGGTGGATTGCTATCACAAGGCTAAACTGAAATACTAAGGATAAAGCTGAGGAATAAATACATTCAACAACATAAAGATGCAGTTTTAGCTGAGTTTTCTCAATTTATACGTAAAATATCTTATCTAGCGCATCATCTAAATTGTATATTGAATCTTAAAACTATAGTTATTGTAGATGTAGATTGTTTATTGTAGATGTACTTTTATATCCTCCTCGACTTCCTCTCTTTGAGTCGCCATTTAGAATGATCGAGCATTGATCTGCATCCTTTTCTCAGTGGCCGTATATTCAGTATATCTCTAGTGTGGTCGTGCATTTATATTCAGTATTTCTCTAGTGTGGCCGTGCATTTATGGATTATTAATGTAAACTGGGGAAACAGTATTTGCTGTCTGTTTACTTAAGAGGCAGACCTAAACCTAAGAAACCTGAATGTCTGAATGTTACCAAGTGTTGAGAGCAGCCGCTTCTAATAGCTCTTAAGAGATTTTTCGATAATCTCTTCTAAAAATGTTTATCCGAATGCTCTAAAATTATACGTTAACGTTCCCAGAGTTCTCTCCAAATCGTCGTCGAATAGCCGTCGTGCGCAGCATCGTTTCGCATTCCACCTACAGTTTTAAACTACTACTCGTCTTCTAAATTTGTACATTAAAACATCGAACAATGAAACCCTTAATTAAAATCTAACAACGGATAAATCTTATTCGCAAATGTGGAGTTTCAAAGTTTCTAGGCAATTATGTATCTGAAAGTTCACCTGCAACGCAGGATCTCATTTGCCCATTGCATCTTATCTGTTGAATTATTTCGCTCTTTTCGATCCAAGAGCAAATGAAAAGCTAATATTTTGTATTTTCATTTACCCTGCTTAATGTGTTATAAGTACCTTCCTTGATTAGCTGCATAGTTGCAGGATAAATACAGTTATTCGCTTGTTTGCGAGTGCTGTGCCTAAAGTCAAATGTTCAACCGGTAAGTGCCATTTTTTTCTCGCAATTGTGGTGCATACAAACCATGTATATAAGTGCGCCGTATGCATGTGTATCTGCGCGAGTATCCGCTGCACTTATCCTTTCACTTGATGCGCATAATGAAGAGCACTTTGCTCTTATAAAAGCAATGGCTAAAAACAGGCAACAAAACAAACGGGCGAGCAAACAAACAAACAAACAAACAAACGTCAACGAGCGAGCAATTCGCATAAAGAAGCTGAATGGCTGAGAGGTGGGAGGGAGATGGGGAGTGTGGGTGTTACATTTAGCATGCTCAAGATCACACAACCAACACAGCCCACCCCCAAACACACAAACAGAGAGTTATGCGTGCGAAGGACAAGAGCAGTGACTGCAAAAACTGTGAAGCCACCGCTCTGGCCGCAGTCGATGCGAGGGCCGATCCATGGTTTGACGAAGACAGAATGCTCCTCGGAGTTTATCGACAGAATTTTTTTTTTTTTTAATATTGAGTTTAGAATAAATTATTTACCATTCAAGAGAGTGTACGTTTCGATACTGTACTCAAGGATTCTCCTATGATTTCCTAATTTCTCCTTTGTAGAGCTGCCTTTTAAGTCCGTATCCTTGGCTTTCCTTGGTATCCCCCCTTCTAATTACAAGTTTGGCCATTCTTAGAACTTTCTCATCTACGGTCTCGATGTATATCATTAGACGATAGATAGATAGATTAATATGATATTCTACGATTTTCGACGAGGATTTTTAAGGCAAAAATACTTCGATCAACTTACTTTCACTTTTGGTAATGTAGCACCAACTAATTCCGTAGTTTACGTCCTTCCCTGCAGAACGAATCTCGTGAGTGTACCGGAGCCAATTGGATGACATACCATGAGATAGAGGCACCTTTGGGCATTCAAGTGACCAAGATACATTCAACATTGCCGTCAAGACGATACAGCATTTGAAAGCATCTTTATCAGTTTTCCAACTTCTTCTGCTGCAGCCCTCGCGCTGGTCCTGAATGCTGTTTTTGCAAATGAAATGCAAACAGCAGGCGAAAGATGGGCAGATGTGACGATGTGTGGGCGCTGGTTGCCGTTGAGCCGCTGGTTTTCTGCTCTGTCAATTGACGGTCACGCCCCCCGTTTCGCAGAGAACTTAGTTTTTAATTTCACTTTCACTCAGCGATGCCCCGCGGCGGCCTCATTCACATTTTTGCTCATTTAATACGTGCGTTCGCCGCAAGGACACTCTGCGCCTTGCCCTCGGTCTACTCCGCCTCCGCATCCAGTTTTTGCTCTCCATTTTTTTTGTGATTTTGATGTGTTTATGTATTTACAGCTACCCTCCTTGTGGCACACACAAACACACTGCCGCACACATAAATCACACACAGATACACATTTGTTGGCATGGCCATAAGTGGCTTTAGCCAAGCGGAAGACGACGGGTGCAGGAGGGTTGAGGGTTGAGGGTTGTGGGTTGAGGGAAAACAGTAAACAGCTGCGAGATAAATTGCTCATCTGCTCGACCTCGACGTTGATGTCCCCGGTCCGTCCGACCACCATCCCCCATGGCAGGCCTGGACTCAGTGTCATCGCAGCGCGCCGAGCTGAAGTGTTAAGTACATAAAACCCACATACATTGCGTTTATCCATAATGATGACCTAACTTATGACTCGCCCGTCCACGCGGCGTATACGTAATGCGCATAAAAAAGAATAACCAAGAAACGAAGCGAAACGGAACGAAAACAAGGATCTCGGGAAAAGAAGCAGCATAAAGAATTGTTTAAGCTCATCTTGCCTCAGACATTCAAAAAAAAAAGATTGGATTTGTCCTGCCTACCTCTTTAATTTTTGACGCAAATGCTCGAGGGAGCTACTGTAGAGAAATGTTGTCCTTCCATCTGCCTGGAGAGTGTCTTTAATTCGAAGAATTTCAAGTGCTAATTTTGAAGGTTTAAATGAAGTTTTATACGTAAGAATAATACAATAACGACGACGATCATTACAGATATTACAGAGTATGACTGTAATATCCGCTCTTTTTCCTTAAAAGAGTTGTTTCCAATTCATTTGCTATAATTTTTTTGGTGACTTTAATGATTAAATGATTTGTGAACATGGCTAAGATAAGTGAACTTCTGATCTACGCTCTTGCAATTTTCTACACGTGTATCTTGACTTATTACTTAAGAGACGGTTGACAGATGACAATTTTGTCGAAAAATCTAACAATCGAACAAAGCTCTGCTTGGTATTCCAATGCACACTCCGACCCGAATCGGTTCAGGCCCTTTGCCATTTGCCTGCTCAATCAGGGTCGATGGCAGTGGCAGTCCCTAGCCAATGGGGAGCACTTTGCCACTCAAGTGCCAAACAATTTCAAAAATCAACACCAATACACAACGGTGTGAAGAGAGGAGCACAGGAAGTGGCAACGAAAAGGAAGGTAAACCAATTCATTTCGAGCAGAGTCTCTGTGGCTCCTCGTGTTGCAGTGACACAACCCAACCCACCCCCGCCACTCCGATTGCGATCAATTAATTAACTTGGCCAAAAGATAACACCGAGCTTCGCTCTAATGAATACCAAATGAGCATATCAGCTCATGAGCTGTCTCTGGGCGGGAGATTTTTCACCAGCAGACAGCTCGCGATTTATTTTGAGTAATAAATTCGGTAAAAAAGTGTCACAAATTTATGGAAACGCGGAAAACCCAGGCACAGATGACAGATTGCTCTGGAAGCGAATGAGCCGGGATTGGTTTGGCCTGGGCGAGGGTTAGGCCTTGGGTAGTCGCTTCATGTGAGTATCTGTGTAGATGGTAGATGTATGTCAGGGCACTGTTCAAGTGGGCGAAGGCATTTGGCTAACCCTCAGCCCTGAACGATACAGATCCATATGTCGCTGTCGCCCCATGGCTGCACCAACCTCAGGCTCGTATCTCGCTCAGTCATTCGTGCTAATGTACATTTTTTATGCTCACCGCTGATAAGTAAGCCCCAGACCCAGACCCAGACCCTGACTCTGTCTCCGTCTTGTTCGGGAAGCGGTTCTTTGGTTTCAATTTACATAAGTCCCAGCCTCCTGCATCCTTCGTCTCATATACGTATACGTAGGTATAAATGATGTGTCAGGTTGGGTTGCTGACTTCGTTTTTATAACCGCCTCGCTTTTGCCCATTTTATGCTTCACCACCGCGGCTCACTCAAGGTGGCCGCTTCTCTGTTGGTCTCCACCTGGCTGGTGCTGCCAACTCGCGGGTATTCCTGGCCAGGACACGGGGCACACGGGGAGCATGACGAAGGTGGGAGGCAGCCGAGTGCAGAAACAGATTACAGTTCCAGAACATGTTTTGATAAGCAGCAATTTAAAACGTGATGCTATTTTTGGTTTACACCACGACAAAACGAAGGCAAAGACAAAATCAATGGCCATGGGTAAGCGCAAAAAACCTGTCCTACAAAGTAGAGCCACCATATGCCGAGGGTGGTATTTCATTTTCATTCCTATTTAGGCCGTGCCTCTAGACTGCAATCTTCCAGCCGATTCATGAAAATCTCTGCTGACTACGCTACATTAGATTCTGATATACAGACCCTCCTTAGACAGGTACCAGAGTTCTTCTATTTTGTAAAGCTCGTATGTTTTTGAGTTCACATTGTGGTATTTAAGGTTTATTTTCCTCAATATTGTCAATTGCAAACGTAGGTGGAATAGCTAAGTGTGTTTTTTCCTCGCAGATAGCTCTCAGGTTTGCCAAGCAATCATTATCGTTCATGCCGTACCCTTTCTCCGTCCACCATAGATGAACGCAGTGCTCGTAGCCACCGTAATTGTCCGGCTGGCCAGGCGTCCATCTGGCGAAAGACATGGGCCGGCCAGTGGTAATGGAATAAAAATGTCCCGGCTCTCTGCCCACATCAAATAATGAAATCCAGAAATAATTATTGACACCTTGTTCGTAGCCCTGCTCAATCAAATATTTAGATATGGCGTCCAGCTCTTTAGCTGATTCTATATTGGCCAATTCTGCGTTGTGTTGTGAGCAGATATCGCGTGCGACAAACCAGTTGGTTTGAATGTGCGAAATGTAATAGTTTTTAAAACCCACTTTCAGAAAATCACCTAGAAAATAGAGATACATATAAGTTACAGTTGAGAAACATCCGAGCTCTTACCATAAGATGGCACGATTTTGCTTCCTAGTAGATAGGAAATGATCGACAGCACCACTGAATTGAACATTTTACTTCAGGCTACAATAAGTAATCAGCTAGGGGCAGCTGCATTGTATTTATAGGAAGCAGCATTTCATACTCTTTCAGTCAGTACATTCACTTTTGAAAAAAGATAGCCACATGATGTTTTAACCAATATTTGACGTCTTTAAAAAGTGTCGACTGTCGAATTGTCCTATTAAATACCACCAATCGAAACACTTTAGGTAGATCGCTTTAGGGATTAGCCAAAATATATACCCAAAATGTAATACCCTTTGAAAATTTATATATATTAGTCTTATCGTTAAAGTTTGTATTTTCCTTTCAATATTGCACAATTTTGAGTGACACCTTTAGTAAATTACTCTTTGCATTTAAAACGCATTAGCTCAAACCCAACTCAATTTTCTAATTTCTAGAAGAGCGGATAGTGAATAATCTCCAACCTCATCAAGTACATATGCATGTACATATGATGATGATTATGGATGTTGATGCATTCTGAGTGTTAAAAACTTCTATCGATTTTTATTATACCCTTGAACATGAAGATTTCGCAAGACTGTATATGTATGTAATCTGATTTATATAACCTTTAACCTATATAACCTCTCTTTCTCTCTGCCTTTTGCTATCAAATTTGATATTGCGATTTTTTGTTCGTTTGTTCGTTAATGAGGTGGGGGTCTCTCCGCGATCGCTCTCAATTTTGCTCGCACTTGTCATGAGAGATGGGGTAAAAATAAGAAGTACTTCGTTTATCCCATTTCCAAATAATCCAAGAAACTATTCAAAATTTTAAAATATTTTATCTGTTTACATTTTTCTGCTAATGTTTTTTGAACCGCTACAGCTTTCTCTCAACGAAATTTTGAATTACACTTGTACCAGGGTGATATTATAGGAGTCTGGATACAAAATTTGGTTGCTCTAGCTCTTATAGTCTCTGAAATCTAGGCGCTCATGGGGACACATCGACTTCGATTCTGATGCCTGGGTCGGAAACGCTTCCTTCTGTGTGCGACAGACATCCACTTTTAGCACAAATATAATATATATACTCTACGACTACTGGGTATAGATATACATCGATCGCTGCTAAAGAAAGAATATCACTACTAATATTCAGTAGAAGCTGAGGGTCCATACAAAAATTTTATTAAATTATATTTTATGACTGTCTCAAATGGTTTCTCTTCAATATGAATCAATCAACCGAACTCTTGTATTTTAATATGATTTAAAATCAAGAGCCCATTGAGTGTACCATTCGGCATTATGGCTTAAGATTTCAATATCCATAATGGAATGAGATAAGGGTAATTCGTTTTCAGAACAACTGCAGAATCTCATCTTAATGAGTCTAAGCCCAAAATCGATTGATTGGGCCAATTCATTTAGTGTACCCGGTACTCAAAGAGGAGATGATGTATCTGGACAAAAGTATGTAGCAGCCGGGGGAATGGCTTTGTAAACACATTAAAGAACAAGCCCTCTATTATTGCCCTCTATGTAGGTCTCATTTTAATGACATAAATAAGAGTAATCTTACTCCATATTTATGATAAACGGGTATCATATTGTCGACCCAGACACAGAATTTATCTTTCTCTTGTTTTCATTATGTAATCCAGTTGTAAGCTTGCGCAATTCATTGAGAATTTTCAATACCCATGCAAGAAATGATCAATTTAGTTTGTCAGTAATTCAATTCCTTTAACAACATGAGCAGACATCCCAGATACAACGTAAAAGATAAGCACAAATAATGACAAATGAACACAAAATAAATGGAAAAGGAATCATCGCTTAATGTGCCAAGAATGAACTGCTTGTCGGGGACTTGAGAGGTTCCCCGAAATGAAAACAAACGATACAAATGAAATGAATGCCAATTTTTGAAAAATTAATTTACTGTCTCGAAATGTTTTCTATTTGATATTCCATGAAAATTGCAGCCAGCCAGGGAAGGGCAGAGGAAGCAAAGCTCCACCAGCAAAAGAAAGCAATCGACATGGGCCCAAGAAAAAAGAGCCCATATATAAGGCAAGCAGAAAAGTTGGGCAGATGGATAGACCAGACATAGACATAAGGACAGACTGGCAGGCAGACAGACAGATAGACCGACAAGAAGCTGCCAACATAAGTCAACGTTGAATTCGTCTTTGACTGCACTAATATGCTTTTTGTGCCCCCTTCCCAGCTCTCAATAATCGATTCGCAAGACGTCAATGAGGCCGAAGAGCGCCGAGGAAGCGCCAAAAGTCCTCACAATAACATTTCATTTGAAGGATAAGCCAGCGTTGTGCCAGCGATTCTGGCTGCTGCTCATTTTATCCGGGACCAGGCCCAGACAAGCAGCATTTGTAATAACTGTCATAAGCGAAATTGGTGTTATCCTGCCAGCACCCCGCCTGTCAGGAACACAACGAACCCCCACACACATGAACGAAATTAAAAGACATACGATGTGTGGTACTCTTCTTAAGGGTGCAGGCGAATTAGAAAGTTCTAAATCTAGATCACAAAGCTAGATCAATACTCTTGTCATAATACTTATTGGATTCGATGCAGATATTTTCGATATGTATGCTTTTTATTTATGTTTTTTTTTTTAGCAAAGCCAAACAATGTATAAATACGAGTACTGGGACAGGTATCCGCGAATGTAAGTGTATCATACGTTTCGACTTGGCACAATTATCTCATTTTATGTTTGTGTTTGCGGTTGTTTGGTGGTTGTACTCGAATATTTTTTCCATGCGGTTTGCGTGCATTGGGGTGGGGCTATCACCTAATATTAAAATCATAAAAACAAATTAACAAGCACAAAAATTCCAGGGGTAAGCTTTGCTTTTAACGAACTGATAAAATAAATAAAACAGAACAAAGTTTCATGTAAAACCTCAAAACAGATGCCCAATTTATATATGTACAAATATAGAAGTGTAGATAAAAACTAATTTTAAAATTGGGTTTTAGTAGTAGTAAAAAATATAACCATTTTTTGTGTGCATTTCATATTATTAATATCATATTTTCCTCTCACTGTTCCCATCATTGTCTGGCGGACCACGAACCCATCCAGCGGTGTTCAGTGGTAGCCCTGTAGCTATGGAATAGAACTGTCCTGCAGGTCTGCCGACATCAAAGTACGCCAATCAAAATAGGCTGTTGGCCTCCGACCTTTATTCCTCTTGAAGCAGGTGGCTCGATATGTCTGCGATATGTCTCGATACGTCTGTAGGAATTTCATCGATTCGTTGAAAACGCGAATATGCAGTATAGGCTACATATTTTTAGGCCATTACTCTGGTAACCGGTAGCTCGAACCTCTAGCTACCAGAGAACTTTCTTGGGAGTATCCGAATATCCGGTTCCATTAGACACACCATCAAACCTGTTGTAACAAGCTCTCTCGGAAAGTGTCGATCATAGTCCCCGATAGTTCTTTAATCTAGTGTGTACTCTACATTCTGACACCACCACCAACTCCTTTAAGGATCTTGTCATAATATGACTAATATGGAAACAAGGTAACTGTGATCTATTAAACGTTTTCGGAAAAGTATTTCCGGAATACTCCACGCGTATGAGGGTCACTTGCATAGAATGTACAAACCAAAGAGCTCAATCTGAGCCAAGAGCCAGAAGTTCCATTTCGCTTTCTCATGCCCTCAAACCTCTTGCGGCACGTTCGCAGTTTTTGCTGTCTCTTCATTTTGTTCATTTCCCCCACTCCCGCCACTCACTCCTTGCATCCCCTTCCCCTTCTGTGTTGTTTTTGTTGTTGTTGTTATAAGAAACTCATTCGTATTGTCAACTTCGTTTTCATCAGCAGACAGCAGGAGGACCTGGAGGGGGCCCCAGCGAACTGCCAGAAGCTTTAAGATACAATTTTTTATAACTACACGGCAGTGTCCCAACCCCTCACCACCAGCGCCAGCGCCAGCGCCCGTGCCCACCCCACCCTAATCCACATCCACCAGACCACACTTAGATCTTCCCGACAAACGCCTGCCGTTGGCTTTTGCTGGGCCTTATATACGTGTATGGGATATAGGGTTTCTCAACATTTCGCACGCCCCTCCGGTTGCCCATTTATTTTGCCTGTTCTTATCGTTGTTACTGCCGTTGTTGTTGTCGCTTGCTTGTCGGGGCCTGTCATAAAAAAGGGACGGAAACGAAATGGAACGAAACGAACGAAAAGTTAAGCATCTTGGCGGCCATATGACAGATTGCTTAAATGGTACCCATGTGGGATATTACGCGTACTTGGAGGTCGACCCTCCTGGCTGACATTTGGAACTTTTCCTTTTTGTCCTTTCTATATCTTTTCAAGTTAATTGCTTGCAGATTTTGATTGTATTTTGCCCGAAAGAACCTATATGTATATCGGCTGTGTATTAGTAGTAGTATTAGAGAATTATCAAATCCAATCGGTTTGGATGGTACTATTCGTAATATTTTGCGTACTTATGGTTTCTGGTTTGGTAAGTTTAAAGGAATGGTTAATATAATTTATCTATCTTTAGTCTCAGCTATTTATGGAAGGGCCTCGTGAATCAGTACCCTTCGGTACCATATCGGCTACTGACAAGGGCAGAGGCAGGATTTACAACGGAAACAGTCCGAGCAGCAACATCATTGACAATGACAACACACAACATGCTCCAACATGTCCTCCAGTAAGGGATTGCAGTGGCCGATAAACAGGCGCGATTAAATGAGAAAATCGTTTAATTATAATTCCACTTAATGCCAGGCGTAAAGCCGAAGGCTTTATAGACGACATTTGCTGCAGAGATTCAGGCAGGAACTGGAACAAGAGCAGGAGCAGGAGCAGGAGTAGGCGACAAGAACCGGCCATAGGCATCCGACGGATAGCAATTTCGATTCGCTTTTGCCGGTTCGAGCATCATGACGCGACATTTTGACAGTCAGAAGGACCCAAGAGCCCCGATGACCGATAGCAACAATATGTCAATGCGATTCGGCAATGATTCGGCATCCCAACCCATTCCGGATCCTAGCCAACTGGCAGCAGTCAAAATTCTTTGGACAAGATGACTGCTGCCTTTGGCAGTTCTTTTAAAGGCGGCCAAATTGCCCGTGGGAGAACGGACATGGGGCTCGGTCTGTGTCACGTGGCCCACCTTTGACGATTGCCCTTTTAATTACAACAAAACATAGAGAAGCGCCTAAAACTTGGTCCAATTACACGCACTGGCACGGTCATCCGCCCCAGCAGATGGGCCTCGAAAAAGCTACAGAAATTGAATGGAATGTAAAGTGAAAGGGGGAATCGGAAAGGGCGGAGATTGGGATCCAAAGAGAGAACTAGAAAGAGGGCGATCCCGTGCATGCTTAAATTGCCATCATCGCGTTGAACGCATGTCATGTCCAGCTCGGGGCGAGTGCGCCTGGTGTCTGGTGCCTTGTCATGGCCCGGCAACACTTTGACTGACGGGCCTGGCTCAAAATGTAAAATCAATGCCCTCCACACACTCTCAGAATATCCAGAATACTGCACCGCCGACACCGAAGCCGACACTGACTTGACTGATTTTCCAAAGCTCTGTCAGCTGGTTGACTGATTTTTCTGCATATTTAGTATTTTTCTGTTCTTGTTTTTGCTGAACTGTTGAAATTTTAAACGGGAATAGTGAGTATATTGGGTTAGAGACATAGGGCAGATGCAATGATACGAGTAGTAGTAAAAAAATTAGAACATATTTAGCTTATTTATTGGGGATACAATTTGTAAATGTTAATATTAATTTAAAGATGAACTCAACTTACATTCTCCAAATCGAATAATATGGAATATGTACTTGCACGTCATCGCATGCTCCATCACATCACAGCACTATTGACTTCAGATTGTTATTAGAAAACCCTGTCATTCATTTTCTGTGTTTTAAAATCAATTCTGTTTCAGTGGTGTTTTTAAAATAACCAAAAAATGGGGAGTGCAGGGAAAAGAATAACAGTGACAGTTTTTGTTTATTTGAAACCGTATTGACAGAGTGACGGAGCCGGACTGGCCAAATATTTAATTTAAATCAGTGTCGCTGGCCATTATCATGGATGGGAGTGGAGTGGAGGGCGGATGTCAGTGATCGGGCCAATTGTAAGCCGGTTAAATGGAAGCAAATAATAGTTCAAATCAATGTGGGGAAAAATCATGAAATTAAATTAAAATCTCCCAGCACTTTGTTGCGAGCTGGAAAGAAAAATGTAAGGCTCTGAATGAGGGAATGAAAACAATACGTGGTGGTAACATGTTCCACCTGAGAAGCCACTCTTCCGCTCTGGCGCTGTTTTTGCTTTTGTTTCATTTGCCTGAAACTACAAGGGGCCCAGAGATGGTGTCCTCTCACGTGTTTTCATTTAATTTAAAACATTTTCTTTACCCAAATTACAAAATCGTATCTAAAGTTGAGCTCAGCTATGAAGGCGTTTCAAATGTACGCATAGAATGGTTCTGAAAAATAGCTAGCTGTTCTATAGATCATAACTTTTGGGATAGATTTAAAGTTTTGTTTGTGCCTTTATATATAACTGGATTACTTTAACGTACAGACCCCATTCGCAATTAGGTGAAGAATGTTGGGCATAATAAGATTTAAACCAACAGACATGTTATAAACAAAGTATCGCCCATTCCCTCCATAGGCAAGCTCCACTGTACGGTCTAGTACTCGTATCGTTCTTCTTATCCTGATCGTCCCAAAATGTCAGGGCTTTGTTTCCGCTTGCCTGCGGTCAAAAGTGTGTATTCCTTTTTGGGAAATTTTGTGTAAAAATATTTGTTTGAAGAAAACACCTGCGGAAAAATAACACGAAAATAGCAGGAACATCACAAGCCTTGCTGGGGAAATAAAATCCGGGCGACACTTTATTTCGCCCGCTGTAGAGGCGGGAAAAGGAGCCTACACCTGGGCGGCAGACTGTGGGCCGCAGGATGAGCCAATATACAGTTGCGTGGCCACGTGACTTACTAAATCAACTTGGACTGTCGGTCGTTAGGGGCCGGAGTATACGCACGCAGCCACAACACAAAAACACAAACAGAAAAATAGAAAGGGAAATAAAAATAAAGGAGCCTCAAATCCAATTCCCGCCCAGGGTGATGTCTCCGGAAATGTCAGGCTGACAAATCGCGTGCAAAAATCTGTGAAATCTTCGCTTGTTTCCATCTCTATCTGTGCGTTCCAGAGTCCCAGGCACAGGCACAGGCACAGTCCTGTCTTGCAGCTACTGCCATGACCACGCTCCTCCGGGTACTCCACGGGTTTGGTGGGATTCTGTTGGCGCCTCGCCCGCAAAATCTCTCTCGGAACACCGCCGGCGCCTCTTTGGCAATTTGTTGTGTTTGTATTTTTTGTTACTGTTGTCTGTTTTACCATCCCGCTGGCCGTGGTAAATTTTTTGATTAATCAAAGGACATTTTTTGTGCCTGTGTCGCCTGCCAAAGGAGGCAGAATTAATGCAAAAATGATGAGTGGAAATTTGTCAAGCTTATTTACTTCCGTCATTTAATGGGCCCGCGGCACATCGACAGTGGGTGTGGGGCCACTGGAACTGAGACCCGGAGCAGGGACCCAGACAGGGACCCAGATCCGGACTAGAGCTGAGGACGACGTCGACCCCATAACGACAGACGCCGGAACTTATCTTTGTTTGTTCGAATTTGTTGTTGTTGGCTTTTGCTCAGCCCGAAGCCATTTTATGCATAATTTTTGGTCAATGTTGTTGTTTTTTTTCACAGCCTTTGCTGTTATGTCGTTGGCTGTCATTTTTACCTGCGGCGGCCATTGGCCATTGCATATTTTAGCCGGATTTGTCCTAATGCGTTGAATATTTTTCAGTGCCTGTAAAGTGTTTGGTTTTTCTTTGCTCCTCCTCCCTTTTTTTGGGGATGCTAAATCGAATTTTTGTTGCTGGCATTTTCCTTTCGTTTTCCTCGTTTTTCTCTTTTTGTTTGTCTGTTTGCCCGCCTCGTCAGCCTCCCTCAAATCTGTTTGCAATAAGTTAGGCATACGAATGCAGAGGAAATGAGGGGCATAAGCTGTTTGGAAGGGTCTCTGTTTGGATTGTGAATTGGGAAGAGTAGCATTAGGCTTTTTGCTTACATAAGGCAGTAAGGCAGTGCCAAACAGTCTTCGAAGTTTTGGCAGCAGAAAGGAGCAGAAGGTTTTACGCAATTTTATGGGTATTCAATCGCATGGAGTAGCATGCAAATTATTACAGAATAATTTAATTAATGACATAAGATGATTGCAATTGTTATAAGCTTTTTCATAAATTTAAGGATCTTCAAGGTATCAAATCTGGCATAGCCCGGATTAAGGGCCTCAGGAGTGGCTTGGAAGTCGTGCTTACCTTAGCTTTCATAATATACCAAAGGAGTATTCTACCTCCCCCTTAAACTATGATGTTTTCCGCACTCCTGTGAAAGTAGAAAAACGTTCGGTCGAATGTCAAAGGATGTTGCATAAACTGGAACATTACTCTCCATATTTTCCGTAATTTGCCTAAATCGAATAACGTTTCTGCTGTCCAACGTTAATCAAATTTCCTATCATTTTGAACAGCTGTAATTTTATCCCCCAAATATGATTTGAAATAGTAAAAATTACATATTTCTTATGCGAGCCCAACCGAACGTTGGCTCTGTGCATTTTGGCATTTTATTCGTGTTTATTTATTCTTCATACATCATTTAATACATTAACAATTCACATACAATAATTAGATTTACTTGCCATTGATTGTGTGTGTTCCGTTCTGTGCTCAAATATTCATGTGTAAATTTGTTGATATTCATTCGTGTTGCCTCCGCTATTGCAATATTTTGTCATACGAGTACGAGTACGAGTATACCATACATTACATACATATATTTAGTAGCAAATTTACGTTTAGTTTAGATATCTATATTTACGATCATATATATTTCATTTCACATTTCTCGATTTCTCGTTTTGTGTTTTGGTTTTTCGGTTTATCAATTTTTGGGTTTTGGGGTTTCGGGTTTCTCTTGTTTGCTTACACATAACACAAACACAAACACAAACACATAAACAAATGTTGCATTACACTTATAGGAAATGGATGAGCTTCCTGCACGGTCCTAGACTAATAGAATTTCGACTATGTACACATTCAACTGTTGGCTGCCTAGGCTGTTAACTTTTCTATTGGCTCGAAGTGGTGCGAAGAGCCCGATTGATTTGTCGCCTCCGTCTGCGTATGCACCTGCACCTGCACCTTGGCCTGTACCTGTACCTGTACCTGTATCTGTGGGTGAGTCCTAGAAACTTAGGCCACAAAGAGGGCGCCCATTAAGGCCAGCCACTAACTCTGGGAGCGGTGCCATCGCATCAATTGGACGAGGCCCAGTAGCCAGGCGGCCAGCGAGGCTGCAACGATTACCAGATTAGACGGGGAATGGAAGGAGCTGCTAGTCGCTCAGATGGCCACTCACCTGGGCGGCCGCTGATGCAGGAACCGTTTTCGGTGAATCGCTGGTTGGTGCCGGCATCCTTGAGGGCCAGGACGGTGGTCCGCACGCGGCTCTCGCGGCGTGCACTGGCCAGGCCCATGATGTCCGCGCCGCACCGCAGCTCCAGCATCTCGCTCTTGCTGATGAAGCGCTGGTCGTCCAGGTGGAGGCGCAGCTGCAGGTTGCTGGCGAACAGGGGGAAGCCTTCGACGTTGCGTGTGATCTCGTTGACTTGAGGCTGCAGGCTGTGCTGGGGCGCCTGCGGCCGGAAAGAAACGGAAAGTTTAAAGCCAAATTCGACCACACCCACATACGGGCGTGACTTCCAACCAGGCCAGAGGACCCCTGCCAGATTCCTGTGTCAACAATGGGGATTCTTGGCTTGACTCGATGACCATGACAAGCTGACACGCTACATGTCCCCGGGCCGCCGCTGACATGTGTCCCGGCCTGTGGCTTGGTCAAAACACGCCCCTGACATGCCTCAAATATGAATTGAGGTCGCATGCAACTGCACAGATATACCCAAATATAGATGCAGCGGCACTTGACCATATCTAATGTACATACATCTCTGATCGGGTCGATAGTACTCACCGTTTTGTTGTTGATGTACCACATGAGTTTGGCCGCCGGACTCGACCATTCCGAGCTGCAATTGGCCATTAGCGTGTCGTGATACTTATAGGCGTGGCGCACACCCGATATGAATGGATCGAATTTAGGCAAGACTGAAAAATAGTGTAGTTTAGTAAAGATATACTGAAGCCATGAGCTAAAAATGAATTGAAATATTTGTAACTATTGCATTAGCTAGAGATATTTTCTTTTCCTGCCACCATTTCATATATTGTGCTTTCTCTCAAATAATCTTCTACGAGAGGCCTTATATTATTTGAATCGTTGGTTAATTTCTGCCAACAAAGAGCGCTTCAATTCAAATGAATCTGTTATTCGAATTGAAGCCAATTAATCTCTGACGTATTTATCATATTTTAAGTTTATTTTGAATTTGTCGTATTGTTTCTTCGACTAACAGGAAATTTGGAATTCTCATCGAGGATTAAAATTACATAATGTTGCAAAGCCAGAGGACCATAAAGTTTCATTTTAGTTTCCAGTTTGGAAACTTTACTTTTGGGCAACTCTGCTTACAAATGAAGAATGCAGTTCGGGCACAAACTTACTCCAATTAGAGAGAGCTCTCTGCAGTGGCAGTAGCATAGTGTGCGGTTACAGTATACACTACAGTGGACATACTACAGTAGGGTACGGGCACATCCAGAATAGTGTGGCAGTGCTGCCACTTAGACAATTACCGACACGCCAACACCAAATATTTATTTGAAGTGTTAATTAATCTTAACAAATAATTGCCCAGGATAAAGTTTTTTGATGAAAACAAGCGTAATTTAGTTTATGGGCGGGCTTGGGGGCGGGGGAGTCGGGTCCCCCTGGCTATGACCACAGAACAGTAGGAAACAACAACGAATCGAGCTCCTGTTTCTGTTTCGAGGGGGGCAAATGAATGCCAGCTGCCGCTCCCCGACCACTGCTGTTGTTGCTGTTGAAAATTTGTGAAATATGCTAAGGACCCCAAGGCATAGCGGAGGCCGGGAGACAGTGCAAGTGGCCGGGGGAGGCATCAAAAGTCGGGCAGTCAGCAGGACTATAAACTTTTTAATTGACTTAATACAAACCACTTTGGTGGAAAGTTTCTGACCTGTTTCAAGTACAACTTACAGGCGGCGACGGACGGCGAACGGCGGACGGCGGACAGCGGACGGAATCCGGAGTTGAAGTTGATGATTGCGGCCATGTTGTGCTTGGTCGCTTGGTGCCACCCATGCCCCCCATGCCCCCCATGCCACATGGCCATCCACCCCATTGGCCTCTAGAACTGTGTGACTTGCATTGCAGCAACAAAGGCAGCTACAGAAATGAAAATTGTACGAAAACAAAGCAATCAACTCGGGTAAATAAACCAAAAATGGCAAAGTACCAAAGTACCAGTAAAGCACTACGAAACAACAACAGGATTGGAAAAATATATACCCCTACCAGAGCTCCTACCAGAAAAAAGAAGCCCAGAGAGGGAATACTCCTACCCAGTCCGAAAACAAAAGTAAAATCTGTTTTGGGGCCAAATTGTGTTGTACGCTGGGCCCCAACTGGAATGCTAAACGAGTACAAGACCAACATCTCCACGAGCAAGAGCTTGAGAATCGCCAGGTGGAGTTATTCTGGTAACCTGGACCCGGTGCCCAGTGTGTTTATGTTAGAGGGAACACCAAGCACCAAGCACACAGCACACAACCTCAAACGATAACCCCCACATTAAAAAGCCAAAAGTGGACAGCAGAACATGAAAAACGAAAAACGAACGACGAACAACAGCCGAGCCGAGGTCCAAAAATGCTAAAAAGTGTAACCAGCTTGTCCCTAAAATGTGGCAAATCTCCGAAGTAATTAAGTGCGGCTCAGTCGCCATTTGATGGCCAACGTTGGGCACATTCAGTCCCGTCCTGTCCGGGGTCCTGGTACTGAGATGAGCTCCGAAAACTTGGCAAAGTTAATCAGTGTGATGACACACGGCACGCAGCTAAGCGACAAAATATTTGCACTGCCAAAGTTGGAAGCGACCTCAAGCCGGGTCGGTCTCCCATTCCGGCATCATCAAAGAGTCCAAGGTGATGGCTGTTTGAAAATCGAGAGCTCTCTGCTGCCACTGCCACTGCCTCTGTTGTGACAAAGTTTTTAAGGTGGTTACGATGGCGATGGCACTTTAGTGACAAAATTCCCAAGTTGATTGTTGGTCTGTCAACAGCTTCGCCTTCATTGAAACAAAAAACAGGCAACACTAGCTCCAGCTCCAGCTACACTGCATAGAACGGCATGGCATGCCTTTGGGTTGGCACTACGTGAGTCCCCTCCCTTCCATTCCGTCTCTCGCTTTATACTCTATTCGCCGTCCCTGGACACGACGGACACATTGTCCTGGCGAGGGCTTTAAACTTCGACGCTATCTCTCTCGTTGATGAAGTTTGATGCCATGGCTGGCTGGTTGGCTTTATTTTGCTATGACCCCGCTCTTGTTGGCCCCCCGAGGCATTGTGTTTTTATGGCTTATTCGTTGTACGAGAATGTGTACATTTGACTATACATACTATATAAATTAAAATGACGAAATGCACTGGCCACTGCCACTGGCATATGCCAAAGGCACTCGCTGCACGCTGCACGCCGGACAATGGCCAAATGCAGCCACTCGGCCAATCTATTGATGCTCTCGTTTGTTATATTGTGTTCTACATTAGGCCAGTTAGGGACAAGACGGTTTTCCTTAAATTTCTGGTAGTAGTGGATTGGTTTTAACCAAAATTTATGTTGATTATATTTCATTTGAGAATTTTTGCTACAGAAAAGCGGCAGCATCGGATTCTCTCTCGCTCTCTCTCACACACCCTTCCTCGTCCAGTGTGCGCGCTCTGGCGGAGGTGAGCGAAATATTTGCGTTTAAAATAGGTAACAGTATAGGTAACAGAAATCATAATATTATATGTGTATGTATATACTAACTGACTACCGGGTATATGTATAAGTAGAGCCGCGGACCGTGCCGCATCAACGGTCCCGCTCGTTTCTTACTTAATATCGTGTATTTTTGAATTAATATGTACATTTATGACAAATACAAAATAATAACTTAAGTAGGTTCCAATAAGTCCTTCAACCGCCGGCTGAAAATATTTCTGAAAGCCGCAATCACTTGCCTTTCCATAACTGCAATTAATTCAATACTTAACTTTTCCCAACAATTTAGCGTGAATCAAAAAGCGATAAATAAAGACCGACAATACTAATCGGACAGTGGCAGGAAAGGCCTTCCCTTTCTGGGCCCACTCTCAGGTGGGAGAAAAAACCGGCACGTTTCTCTAAGCCCGTACAGGCCATCGCCATCGCCATCGACATTGCCATCCTGCAGACTGTAGACTCGCCCTTAATCTAGCCATTGGGATTTCCATGTACAAGTGCTACAACTTCAACTTGAGCATGGCTTACTTTGTCTATTTAAGTACGTTGAATAGATAAAAGTCAAATTGACATGCAAATAGCAGACAGAAAAACAGGACGATAGGAGCTAAGGTGGAGAGGGGCAGACACCCTCTCAGCCAAACATCCAATTAAAGACCCAGTACAAATACGAAAATGCGAATTCAAATTTGATTGTTACGCGTAAACAAATGCCTAAGTGCGCATTATGCAAATCAATATCTCTTAAAGTAACGTCAATAAATAAAGCTCCACCCAAGCCAAACCCAAACCCAAGCCCAGGCCCAGGCCAAAGCCAAACTCTGTTGCATAATCGAAGGGCGCCTGGGGCAGAGCCTCCCATTCACCCATTTAGGAGAGTATCCAGCACCAGAACCCATCCCAGATCCAGATTCAGCTCGGCCGCCAGTATCTCGTTCTGGCAACAACCATGAGGGAAACAAATCGCTGAGCGGCAAAATTGCGACAAATAAATCATTTCGAGCCGCATAGAAACTAGAAACAAAAGACATAAGCAGGCCATTTCCATTTGCCTCAAATGACATTGGGGCGAAATCAATTGATTTGAATTTCAAAGTAGAGCCTGCTCCATGGCTGGCTCTCGCTCTCTGGCTGACTGGGGCTCCTCATGGCCGCAATCAACCACAGCCTGGGAGGGCAGCAGAGGAGCGGAGCGCAGAAGCACCAATGCCGGGTGATGGGTGCTGAAGAATCATCGTCATGTACGCTGCCAATCAAAGCGAAATCAAAATGGTGGGCAATGCGTTGCCTGCGGTGGCAGCGGTGGATCCGCCAGCCATGGCGTTGACGTTAACAAACCCTACTACAAGTGCCACAAGCGAGTGGGTATCCTTTTGATACCCTCACAGAGACTATTACGATTTTACCAGATTCTGACAGTGCAAAGCATGTTAAATCGGAAACACACAGTAGGCTGGATTAGGCAATAATATAATATATATCTATATATCTGCATGTCTACATATAGGCTAATATATGTGTCATCAATAGTCAGCTTAGTTCAATCCGAATGGAATAATTATGCTATATATAGTTATTTGTGTGGAAATATATAAATATACTAGCTGATCCGGCAAACCATTTGCCGCAGTATTGTGAAATATTTATGTTGCTCCAAGTGATGTTATAGACTTCAGGAACTGGTATAAATCTGGATCCGTGCCGATTTTTCATACAATCTGACTCAAGTTTAAATTTAAGCGCATTATAATAGGAACATTCTTTTTCCATAGCATAAATCAGCACTTTCGGATGAGCGGAGTAGTCAACATTTGGCTCGAATTCGAATGCGAGACAGAGAAACGAAGGGGTATAAATTCTAAAACATTTCTCGCCCTTTTTGCGTTGGCAAAAATTCATGAATTTTATACAAATTGCAGAAAACAGATCGAAATCAAACTATTAAGTAGTTCTTATACGTCTTATAGATGCCATGTATTTGCAAGGATACCCAAAGCTTCGGTGCTCGTAGGCAGATTTTTCTTCCTGTTTTTGTTGCTGGTGCGGACTCTACAGTTGCTGTTGTCTAGGCCCAGCACGTGACAACGCCAAACGACCGCGCATTGTAGATTATAAATTGATTCGTACAAAGCTCACAATTGAGTTGAATTTGTTCAGTGGTGCGGCAGGTGCCGCAACGGGGCGAGGAGTGATTCGTGGGAGAGGAAGAGGAATGGTGCAGAGGAGGAGAGCAGGGGGCGGTACGCGGTTCTGTGTGGGCCGGAGAGTGAGGGGTGGCGCCACGGATGGTTGTCAGGATTTATTAACAATCATTACTCATACAAATGGCTGACGCGTGTCACAATTTTCCAGCATTTATGCGACGCCCTTTTGAACTGCCTACTGCCCCAGGTCGCAGACCCGTGGCACCTCCTCACCACCTCGCCTCGTCCCCTAACCCGCCACAGAATCCACCCGAAACACTCGACTGTGTGGCATTGATAAATGGAAAGGAGTTGCTGGCTGGCTGGCTGGCTGGTTCCCCGCCGAAGCTTCGGGGTCGGTGGCCATGCAAAGACCATTTATAATTTTATTAAGTGTTTGCAAAATTGCACATAATTTGTTGTCTTTGTGTTGCAAAACATAAATCAAAGACAGAAACAAAATTTATCGCAAGTTCACAGTGGAGCAAAGGTCATGTACCATTATAATACCCCTTATTTGTTCCGACATTAGACACTGCATATGTGTGATCCAATCTATAATGTACCTACATATTCTTTTAGATACCCGAAGTAGGATTCTGACGAGTGTAGGATTGATATGGCCATTGATTGAAACTGATTTAACTAGCTCTCATTTATAATGCAATAATATAGCCCAATAACTCCCGAATATTTGTATATTATACCTAAATATTGTATTTTATTGTATTAAAATATAATTTTTTTTTGATATTTATATCACATTTTTAGATAACTTTGAACCACAGTGGATGGGTCAACCGGAAGGATCAGGATTGAGGGCAGGGGCTGTACCTACCACCGACTGTCATATTGGCCGTCTGATCGATCAGCTTGAACTCGGGCGCATCGCCGGATACCTCGCATCGGTACTGTCCGGACGAGTGGATGTTGAGCTTCTCCAGTTCCACGTTGCAGATGAATTGATTGCAATGCGACGAACCTTCGGCGATGGTGACACCTTTCACGGGGAACCAATTTGTTGTCGGCGGTGTTAGTGGCGAGTATCTGCAAAGACAAAGATGGGTTTTTATTGAGAGTGAGAGAGAGAGTTAGAGGCAGCTTGAGCTCGAGTGCTGCGCCAAAACTGAATCCATGAAATATTGATGAGGGAATCATGCAAAAAAAAAAATCCACCAGAGAGAAGTTTTCGGTTTCCGTTTCTGCATTTGCGTCAAAGTTGCCGCAGCGTTGCAAAGTGAAACGTTCATCGATTTGTATCCACTTTCGGGCCACGCTGTCGATTTTTATTATGAATATTATGCAGTTTCCATCCAGTTCTGCGCCACTTCAATTTGTGGCCGCCGAGCCACTCCCTGCCATCCCGCTGCCCGCCCATTGCCATCCCCCTCTTCAAAATACAAATAAAATTCAAATTCAATTCGAATTGCCAACTGAGCGTTCTATATTGTACGGCTACTACCTACATATACCCGTACATACATCCATTCGAATATATATACGAATGTTGCATTTGATTACAGCAATTAGCGTGGCGTTTGGGGAAAATCGTTTTCCATTTTTCCAGAGTTACGAATTGCAAATGTGCCATTGAGCGCAGTGTGCGGTTCGGGGGGAAATAGAATACTCTTGTGTCTGGAATATTTAAATATTGATCGAGTGAGTAGGAAAATAGAGTTGGTTGGGTACTTGTCGGGTGGGTATCTCTTGTCCAGGTGTTCGTAAAACCTTTAATTATTCCCCCTCCCCCCTTTTAGAGTGTCCGTAATTAGCAAATGTGGAATCACATTTGAGATATATTAGCTTCAATAATGTTTGTTTTGGACGTTTTAGTGTGTCTTGTGGAGCTATATTTGCAGTTGATTTTTCATTTGAAGTCATTAAGCTGAGCTTGAATGCTGGTAAGTGCAAAAAAGGTCGCAAGGAAGACAAGTTTGTTCGACTAGATGCTACATATAAATATGTATATTCCCTCATTGAACGATCTTAATATGCAAATATATGTAATAATCATTGGATATTGCGAAAATGTATAATTCATCTTTCCATATACATAAGAATCGAATGTTTTCTGAATATCTTTAATGCTGTAATTCCTTGGTTATGCATTGGTCATCCTTTGGTAGAGAATTTTGGGGGCTAACCCCTTTCAGTTTCTTGAATAGTGAACCCATCGATGTGGAAAATGTATTTTAAAGACAATGCTTTGATTAGCCAGTGGTTTTAAGTCATTTTCTTTGTGGTACATACTGGTAGGCACGAAGCCTGTGCTCTTCTAGTTCTATGGCGGCTAAGTCCATCTATTTTCTGTAGTCAAGTTAGAGTATAGCAGAGATATGCTATGCTTCCAGTTGAAAGGCTTAACCAAGTTTCTCCATTCGTGCTCGAAACCACTTGTATTGTCATAGCCAAAATTAACTTTGATTGTTGTTCATTTCTTGAATGTTGAAAGCAAACGCACTGACGGGTCGATTAGTTGTTGGCTAACAGTCAATTTAACCTCGAGCACAGCCGGAGCGAACCGGCCGCCACACTAAATTCAAATTCAAATTCGAAATTGCAGTCGAAATGTGTGCATCTTTTGTGACGTTTTTCGCTACAGTGGTAGTCGGGCAGTGGAAGCAACCGCAGTGTCAAATGCACATAAATAATTGAAGCCGAGGGCCGACCGCACAATCAAAACGTTCACACAAAAGCGTAATTGATAAAAGCCCACTGCCTCCGGCAGTAAATTACTGAGCAGACAGCCGATCCGAACGCTTTGAGACCCCCTGCGTCTGCCAAAAAGACTGCACTCCCCACACACCCCACACTCCCCACATCGGATGTGTCAAAAACAATAATTTGGAGCTGGGAATGCCAATCGAATGCCAGCAAATGCGGTCGCAAAACGCGTCGAATTTACATGCAATAATGTTGCAAGAGGCGTGCCTGGGAGGTAGTCAGCATGGGGCTGGGTGGCTGTCATTGGGGGCGTGACAGTCCATTTGGAAAAGTCCGTAAACCGTTAAATGGTTCTCGTATCTGGCATAAATAATAATTTTTTGCATTTTCTTCTCGTCGGCATATTTGTTTGAGTCTTTAAAATCAATAACCAAAAACGGAACAGAAAAAAATGTAATACCCCAATGCCCAAGCCCCTGTTAAAAATTTTGCGCTCGATTAAGCAGCGGATGGAACAGGGATCTGGCCGTGGATTCCGTGTGCTGCCATGTTCCATTTTTGGCCCTGGCTCTGGCTTTGGCCGGGTCTGGGGACGGGGACGGGGATGGGGATGCGCCAATGTGCAACAATTAAGCCAGTTAAATAAAAAGCTCTTTCGCACATATTTGGGCCGGAACGCGGATCGGGGCAGCGTCACCTGGCCGCAATTGCAGGCGCCCATAAAAATCCATTTCAATTAAGCATTTAAATTAGTTGCGACACTTTCAAGCGTCTGTAGGGGTGGGGGAGGGGGCTCCCTCACTATGTTGCAGACACTGTTGCAGCAGTTTCATGGCGTTTTCAATTTACGCCATAAAATCTGCATGAATGCGCCGGCACAGGTCCCATCCCATCCGAAACCGAGTCCGAATCCCATTCCAGCATTTGTGACATTTTATTATTTCAAACTGAATACCGAAAATATTTTTATGGGACCATTTTTATTATTTTTATTTGTTTTACGGCCACAGCAGTTGGCCGCCGGCTCACCTGAAAAACTCCAGCCCATCCTTGTACCATTTGACGGAGTTCAGCGTCCGATTTCCCATTTCGTAGCTGCAGAACAGCTTCGCCTTCTGCGCCACATCGATAATGCGCGGAACGGAGAGGCTGGACAGGTGCAGTCCCTCCGCTGGCAGCCAACCTGAAACGACAATGGAACCCAAACGAGAATGGTATTTTATAGGTATTATTCCGAAAGCTGTTGATAAGTTTTTGGGCTCTCCATGCGGCCTGATGCTGGGATTGAATCAGTGAATCAGGGATGGAGTGCATTGGATGTTGATATTTGTATACACGTACAAGTCTGCTCAGATTTACAATCAAATGTTTTTAAAGCAAACTTTTGTAAAAGTTTTCAATCCGTTACACAGCAATGTAGGGTAAATTATTCACATGGTCTTATAGTTATGATTGTAAATAAATATATATTTTGTATGTATTTCAATGCATAACAAGAAATAATACTACAATAAAACCTTCTTGGGGAATTATAACCATGGGCTTTCCATGCGATTTCGGACCTTATATTGTTGCTGTTGTTCTCCATTATTCACAGTAGCCCCAAAAAACAATGACCCTGGGGCGCCGCTCTCACCCCACAGCAAAGCGGAGGGTGCCAAAAGGTTACCTACATTAATTCATTGACTCTGAAAGCCAAGCCGGCCCGGCGCAAAGAAGACCTCCATGTTTACGCGCTCACACTCCTTTACGAAAGGACTTTAGGCTTCAGGACCATTCTTGGGAAATTTTTACTTTATGCCGCGCCGCCACATTCATTATTGCATTTAAGCCGGAGCCGCAAATGCAGGCCATGAATCAAAAGCCAGACCCGTCGCACCACGAGGGTATTAATTAAGTTTATTTTACTTGGCCTGATAATAAAAATTATATAAACGGACGAATGGCGGAATCGCGACCAAGGCCAGGGACGAGTGGGTGGTTGCTGTGGCGGCTGCTGGTGCTGCTGTGGCATGTGAACTATGAACTTTGGCTGACCGACAAAATAATTAGCTCTGACTACGGGCCACTATCCGTCTCTTGTGTTTTTTTTTTGCACGCAGCGAGCGGAAGCAACAGTTTTTCGTTTGTTTATGTGCTCGGTGTTTCCGCCGGGACCAGGGCCGGGATCTGGGCTTGGTTCGAGTTTTAATGGCCCCAGGGACAACGGCTTGAACGACGACTAATTACAACAAATAACAGACAAACAGAAATTAACTTATGTGCTACATAAATTAGCGCTGTAATATGACTTTTTTTGTTGCTGATGGCGCCAGCAACAGTGCCCCAATAGTTATTGCCATGCGGAATGCGGCATGCCAACTATGCGACGGATGTTGCCGTTGCCGTTGCCCCCAGGGGATGAGCAAACGATGACTAATCTGCGCGACAATGTTGGCATTAGAAACTGTCTTCTAGATATCTCTCTATTACTTTGGTTCTTCGTCCGATATTTTACTGATATCGGCGCAAAGATGCGATGCGAGTGAGCCGGGGGTTGGCGAACTAGCCCCCTGACTTGTCCTTAGTACATTCCCCAAGGACATTCTTTCAAAGTCATTCGAATGGCAATCACCTTCCCCACTGGCTATATGCAACAAATCCATTGCCTCCAATCCTTTGTGTACCTACAATATTAATAAATTCTTCCATGACAAAAGGACATATTGCACAGTCTGTCCAGGAGTCAAGAGGTTCTATTTTTTATAACTTTATATTTTAGACAGAAAATGTCCCATTTTAACAATCCGAAATTACTATACGACTTTGTGTAAGAGTTTTTTCAAGTAACATACGATTTGTGCATGCGGGGCGATATTTTGTGGGCCTGCAAGAGATCAGGACTCTATATTAACTGTTTTGTTGTGCGTTTATCATATTGCATCGGATGCATTTTTATGTGCAAAAAATTGCACTGTGCAGTCGGATGCAAGAGCATTTGCCCTTCACCATTTAAAATGTTCTCGTAGTTCCGTTGATTTGTTTTTTCCCATTTAATCTGTAACCTGTAAACTGTTTTTTGTTCGCTTCTTCCGCGAATTGTAATGATGTTTTGTTTGCAAGGGAAATAAAGGCCAGATGACATGTGCGATTACGAGTGTGTTCGGTTTGTAAATTATTTCATGTTTTTTGTGTAGCCCTTTGCAGGTGCGGGGGTGGAATATGTAATGGTTACGTTGTTTATTTTATTATCTGGGGATCTGTCCGACTAGTTTCAATTGCGTCGAGCTTTAAGCAATTTGCCACTTGCCACTCGGCGCAATCTCCTCGACAAATTGCTTTATGCGGCCGGCCAAGGACCACGGACCATGCTACGCATCCCAGACACATTACTCATAATGACGGGCAAAAAATTCGATTAGCTTGGAAAGCAATTAAGAGGCTAAGCACACACATGCCCAGGGGAAGACTCTGAGGCTCTTAGAGGGGAAATTATAAAGGATTTCTGGCCACATGACGACGGCTATTCACGGTCAGCCCCAGCCCAAGCCCAGCCCCAGCCCAGCACCAGCCCAGCCGCAGGAATGTTCTTCCCACAAATCTGGCCTAAGCCTCTCTCTCATAGTCAACTTGTGTGGGCTTGTTCCGGCTTCTTATGTCTTGGCTGCCCGCTGCTGTCGCCGCCGCTTCAGTTGCCCTTGACTGATTGTCGGTCAGTTAATATCACTCAAGCATGCCTTGGCGACGGCCGACGACAGACAGCTGACCATGTGAGGCGAGCGATGAGTTGGCCAAAAGCATTTTCTATCCTCCAGTCCAGTCCGTGCAGACCGACCGACCCTTCCCGACCGGCTCACATGCGATGAGATAATGAATGCGTTGACGTTCAAGGATTTAATGTGCCGAAACAATGATGAATTAGTGACGAGACAGAAATTTCTCGAGCGCAAAATAATGAGGCATTTGGACCTGCCCCCTCTCGAGGACAATCATGATGGCAGCCTGGTCTGGTCTGGCCTGGCCTGGTCTGTTTCTGTTCTAGTCCGGTCTTTGCTTTTGGCCCTGGCCTGCCTTGGTGACTATTGTGCGGACAATTTACTTTGAATTTAGTTGATTGCCGAACGGAATTTGGCGCCATTTGGGCTATGTGTGTGGGTCTCTTTCTCGGAGCCTAAGTTTAACGGCGCATTAAATTCGGCAAAATAATTTGAGATCTCCGAAATTTCGTTTAAAGAAGCCAGAGACCCGAAAAGACTATTAGCTAATTTAAATTTTAATGGCAATCACTGGCCATGCAAACTCAAAGATACTCGTATCTCCCCCTCGCCCATGGGGCTAGGTGAATTTATCTTTGTCATCGCCGTTGACATTGACGTGTGGTACAGTTTCTGCCTTTTCGCCTTGTCTGTTGGGGCGTTGAGGCATTAATTCTGTGAGTGTGCCGCCATCGAGTGGATAGTGGAGATGTGTAGCCGTGTCCGTCACGACTTAAAGGGACAATCACCTCGCAGTCATGCAAATGAATGCAAGGAAAACAGAATTAACATAACAGATGTGCTGTTGGAAAACGCGTTGTATTATCTATTATCTACATATGTCGGTAAGTCGGGAAACAAGCAGCTACCTTTAATTTCCCTGCAGTTTTGCAGCTTAAGAACATTATCTAATCAGCAATGCTTTCGCTTTAATATTCCTGATTAATGAAATTATTTACAAACTGGCCGTCGCGTATATAGTTTAAATTCTCCCAGAGCTCATGCAGTTTTCAGCTTAAGGAAATTTAGTTTTCCGCTGAAAAGTTTCTAGTTTCGCACATAGCATTAGAGCCATTTCCTTCTGTCAATTCTAATTCCAGCAGTTTCGACAGTTCCGCATAGTACTCGTACTCATAATTTTAGAGGAAATGAGAAGCAAAATATCCAGAGTGAGAGCACAGTTACACGATTCGTTACGCCCTGAATGGAATGCATTCTTGGAATTTTCTTGTTAGTTTTATGCCCTTCTCCAGGACGGAGCCAGGACTATTTTTTTTGCTTGTCAATGCGGCTCTGCTCTCTGCTCTCTGCTCTCTCCTCGTTTTCCTAGCTCCCTGCTTGCCCCCATTTTCAGATGCTCCGCATTTCCATCATCATTTTTTTGCTCTACGAAAATATTGCCGGAGCCATGTGTGTATGTGGAGCACATTTCATCTTCGCTACATGCTACATGGGGGAAAGCACTTTCCCTTTTGTCTGGGCCATATATATTCCCGTATTTTAGTTAACATTTTTAGTGGCTTTCGGAGTCGGGACTCGGGAGTCGGGAGTCGGGAAACAACAAAAGATTCATCATCTTTTTTTCTCTGGCCCGGATCCCGGATAGTTCTTTGGGGGCTTGAAACGGAACTTTAACATTGTGTGTATCGGATGGCAAAGTGGTTCGCAGGGTTATTCTCGGGGTGTGTGTGTGTGTGTGTGTGTGTGTGTGTGTGGTTCTGTGTTAGTTCTTGACAGTTTTATACACTAGGGGATTGAGGCTGGTGGTCTGGTAGGGGTTTGTTTCCAGATGGGGAGGTGCGTTGATGGATTGCTTTGAGCCGGTCTTTTGGCATGCCTTCGATTGTTGCATGTTCTGCAAAACTCTCGACTGAACTGCTGATTAAAGCGTTTCGGTGTACAGCCGGAGTGAACTGAACCGTTGTAAAATTATCCACAAATTGCGAATAAATATGTAATCAGCGGAGCAAGTATCTGCATCTGCAGCTGCTCGCTGCAGTCGACACTTGATTGCGGCCGAAGGACACTCCACTGACTCGGCGAGCAGGTAATAGTTTCAGGTGAAAGCCTGTAAACGAGCAAAACTGGCACAAACGAGCTGAAAGTTGAATGCAGACGACGGCGACGGCGACGGCGATGACGATGACGATGATGATGATGGGGAGGATGATGAGAGCAGAAGGACGAGAAGGATACCCAGATCCTTGGAAGCTGCGGCAAATACAGCTCGAGTCGGCGGATAGAAAGCCATTCTGTTGGAAACTGTTTGCCACTGCCAAGCAGCAGGCAAGGGCTCAAGTGGCAGCTCTAAGCGGACCGTAAGCCTCCCTCCTCCTTTCGCACTTCCTATTTTATTTATTACATGGCGTATACGCAATGGAAATATTCCGCAATGCATTGTTTATGCTCAAGTTTCGTTTATTCCCTTTTCTCCTGTACACTTTCCTGT